GCTGGCAAGGCTCCCAACCCGCAGAACAAAATAATGTTGCAGGAGGAATTTCCCCATCAACACTGACTGTGTTAATGAGAAACAACCTATTTTCTCTCCTGCAATCATTGATTGCAGGAAAGAAAATTGTATAATGTATGGCCTGCTTAAGTAGAGGGATGCTGAGGCTGCAGCTTTAATCATTGTTTCCAATGCTTATATTAGTATCTAATAGAAGTGCGAATCTTGGTAAACTCTTAGTGTATAGGTCATTTGAAGAATGTTCTTTTTTTTTTTAAAGCCACTATGTGGTATACTGAAAGTATCTTTAACAAGGCCACCTGTAAAGAAGGAAAGAAATACATACCTGTCCATGCTACCAAAAACAACTCGGATGCTGCGTAATCCTTGGCTGACGTTTCTTCCAAAATCAACACTGCTGGAAGTGTCAGGACGGCTTCACACTGATCCACTAGGCTATGGCGGCAGCACAGTGTATCCAGTGTATTTGTGTGGATTAGCTGTGCTCTCCCATAGACTTCTATTATTTCCCACAATTTCGGTGTGCTCTCTGAAAATGTACCAAAAGTCCTGCAAGCAGCTAACTCACAAGAAAACTAAGGGTACATTATAGCCAAAGTAGGGGCAGTGTAAAAGCACCCTTAATCTCTTGGGTCCCCTCCAGTGGTTCCTGAAGGTCCCCACCCTGTTTATAAGTGTTAAAGGTCAGTATATTCCCCACTCCCCTATGAAATCATTGTTGGACAGGTTGTTTCTTCACTCCCCCCAGAAGCATTTGTGGTCAGTGGCAGTTTCCCCTCCATTATAAGCATTTGTGGTCAGTGGACATTTCCCCTCCATCATAAGCATTTGTGGTCAGTGGCTGTTTCCCCTCCATCATAAGCATTTGTGGTCAGTGGCTGTTTCCCCTATACCATAATCGTTTGTGGTCAGTGGCTGTTTCCCCTATACCATAATCGTTTGTGGTCAGTGGCTGTTTCCCCTATACCATAATCGTTTGTGGTTGGCAGTTTCCCCTCCATCATAAGCGTTTGTGGTCAGTGGCAGTTTCCCCTCCACCATAAGCGTTTGTGGTCATTGGCAGTTTCCCCTCATCATAAGCGTTTGTGGTCAGTGGCAGTTTCCCCTCCATCATAAGCATTTGTGGTCAGTGGCAGTTTCCCCTCCATCATAAGCGTTTGTGGTCAGTGGTAGTTTCCCCCTTGTGGTTTTGGTCCCCCGCCACCTAAATGGTAATGGTAGTCAATAATGTATTCTCCCCTTCCCCCAAATGTTACTCGTAATCGGTGATGTATCCTCTCACCCTATTGGCATTGGTAGTCCGTGTAGTGATGTTTCCTCCACTAATGACATTGGTGTTCAGGGATTCCCCCCCCCCCCCCCACCCTCCTCAAGTGGCACTGGTGGTCAGTGATATATTTTCTCCCATCGCCCTTCCTGGATGTTTTCCTTCTAATGGCATTGGTGTTTTAGTGTTAAGTGGGAGACAGCAGAACATAAACCTGTACTGTGTCCTACACCACTGCCTGCGTGGTGACGTCACTGATGGAACTCTGCTCATACTGTTGTGTAGGAGATCACGTCACCTGGCAGCCTGTGCTTAGTTTTGGAGCGGAATTATGGAACAAGTGTTCTGGCACTTGGCTGCAGAAACAGATCTGCAGGATGCTGAGAGTTTGCCAAATTCCTAGGAAACTCCAGCAGAATCCTGGACAGTTGGAAGTATTTGTGCACTGTTGTGTGCTGCCATTTATTGTGAATAGCACTCCATATACAGTACAGTAAATGCAAGTACACCTGTAAAAAAAAAAAATTAAAATTAAAAAACCATTTTGTGTTGTGCTCCACTAACCATATACACAAAAATCAATTAGTGCAAAACAATAAACTGATTACTAATATATTTCTATAACGAGATATCAATCACACTAGAAAGATGCAAATTAGAGGCTAGAGGAGGAAGAGGATGAAAGCTGCTTTGATGTTTGGGAACACACATATAGAGAGGAAAAAGTCTGAAAGGAGCCAAGAGACCCCCTAGAGGGAACAGGGATAACTCCATCTATCTATCCATCCATACTCAGGAAAAGGATCTCTTGACAAGGGCGAGACCCCCTGCTGGAAAAAAGAAAAAACTCTATTCATCCATCCATCCATCCATCTGGGATACAGGAATTATCCATTTGTCCTATTCTGAGCCCAATTAAAGGGACACAAGCCTGTATGACCTCACTTAACAGTTTGGTCATACACATCAGGTGAGAGCACAGCTGGTGAAGGAGCACAGTATACATTTATAAATTTGGTGGACTATTTTTTTATATCTTTTTTTAATATATATATTTTTATTTCTTTATTCTCACTGTTATTTTCCATTTTTTTATATATCATAGAAGACACTATAGAATCACGGATTGTTTTGAGGATTCCTTTTGAGGACTTTATATGTGAAGATATGCATGCATTAGTAGCGTGATTAATAATATCACGTTATGGAAATATATTAGTAATCAGTTTATCAGTTTATTGTTTTGCACTAATTGATTTTTGTGTATATTGTTAGTGAAGCGAAACACAAAATGGTTTTTTTAATTTGATAAAGACACATTTGTATGGGTATGTGTATAGTGTAGGCGACCCACTGATTCAATTGATATACAGTGGGGATCGAAAGTTTGGGCACCCCAGCTAAAAATTTGTATTAAATGTGCATAAAGAAGCCAAGGAAAGATGGAAAAATCTCCAAAAGGCATCAAATTACAGATTAGACATTCTTTTATATATATGTCAACAAAAGTTAGATTTTATTTATTTCCCATCATTTACACTTTCAAAATTACAGAAAACAAAAAAATGGCGTCTGCAAAAGTTTGGGCACCCTGCAGAATTTATAGCATGCACTGCCCCCTTTGCAAAGCTGAGAGACCTGCCAGTGTCATGGATTGTTCTCAATCATCGTCTGGGAAGACCAGATGATGTCAATCTCAAAGGTTTTAAATGCCCAGACTCATCTGACCTTGCCCCAGCAATCAGCACCATGGGTTCTTCTAAGCAGTTGTCTAGAAAACTGAAACTGAAAATAGTTGACGCTCACAAAGCTGGAGAAGGCTATAAGAAGATAGCAAAGCGTTTTCAGATGTCAATATCCTCTGTTCGGAATGTAATTAAGAAATGGCAGTCATCAGGAACAGTGGAAGTTAAAGCAAGATCTGGAAGACCAAGAAAATTTCAGACAGAACAGCTCGCAGGATTGTGAGAAAAAACAATTCAAAACCCACGTTTGACTGCACGATCCCTCCAGAAAGATCTGGCAGACACTGGAGTTGTGGTACACTATTCCACTATAAAGAGATACTTGTACAAATATGGTCTTCATGGAAGAGTCATCAGAAGAAAACCTCTTCTACGTCCTCACCACAAAAATCATCGTTTGAACTTTGCAAATGAACATATAGACAAGCCTGATGCATTTTGGAAACAAGTTCTGTGGACCGATGAGGTTAAAATTGAACTTTTTGGCCGGAATGAGCAACAGTACGTTTGGAGAAGAAGGGGCACAGTAATTTAATGAAAAAAACCTCTGTCCAACTGTTAAGCATGGGGTTGGATCAATCATGCTTTGGGGTTGTGTTGCAGCCAGTGGCACAGGGAACATCTCACGAGTAGAAGGAAAAATGGATTCAATAAAATTTCAGCAAATTTTGGATGGTAACTTGATGCCATCTGTGAAAAAGCTGAAGTTAAAGAGAGGATGGCTTCTACAAATGGATAATGATCCTAAACACACCTCGAAATCCACGGGGGATTACATCAAGAGGCGTAAACTGAAGGGTTTTGCCATGGCCTTCACAATCTCCTGACCTCAACATAATTGAAAATCTATGGATAGACCTTAAAAGAGCAGTGCGTGACAGACAGCCCAGAAATCTCAAAGAACTGGAAGACTTTTGTAAGGAAGAATGGGCAAAGATACCTCAAACAAGAATTGAAAGACTCTTGGCTGGCTACAAAAAGCGTTTACAAGCTGTGATACTTGCCAAAGGGGGCAGTACAAGATATTAACTCTGCAGGGTGCCCAAACTTTTGCAGACGCCATTTTTTTGTTTTATGTTATTTTGAAAGTGTAAATGATGGAAATAAAATCTAACTTTTGTTGACATATTATAAGAATGTCTAATCTGTAATTTGATGCTTTTGGAGATTTTTCCATCTTTCCTTGGCTTCTTTATGCACATTAATACAAATTTTCCGCTGGGGTGCCCAAACTTTCGATCCCCACTGTATGTCTTAATTCAGTCACTAGATAATGTTTTCACTTTTTATTTTAATTGATCAGATAATTTAAATACACCGTAGTAGCACAAGAATCACGCTTTCCTGCCTAATGTATGTCTCATTCTGTTTCTTTGATTTAACAAGCAATCATGTAATTTTTACAGCAGTTCTCAAGCTCTGATACATTTTATTTCTTTGTGCCCCAAGAACAAGATGTAACATGCTGTGGCATTCCTTCTCCAGATAAAACACACAACTATTACTTCTTCAAGCACTTCTGTTACCAGAGTTCAGTTATCTGACACAGGTTAGTGTTTCTATGTGCAACCATACAAGCATAGGCTTATCACATTACTAATTGTTTTGCTTTTGCTAAATATATTTCAATTGTACAGCAGTCTTCAGTGAAGTATAGATATCAAAATAGAGCGTAAAAAAGAGTATTTTTTTTACTAGATTAAAGATATTAAAAAAATGTGTACAGAAAGTTGTATGGGTTGAGGGCATGTTCACTCACCACTATCTGTTTTAGCATGTGGGCTCGTGTCCATTCTCTATATAGGTGTTGGAGGGCAGTGCCTTGTATTTTTACAACACAATGCAATGCTTACGTTTTTGTTTTCTTTTTTTTTTTTAATTATACTTATTTAACCGGTTCCCAACCGCCCTTTAACAGATATACTGCTACAGGGCGGCACAGGTGTGTAAAATCATGTATATATACGTGATTTTGCATTTCCGAGCAGGGGGTGCGTGCGAGGCGCATGGCCATCCTACCTGCACCGCCATTCATGGCCGCGGCTGTCAATCACCGAGTCCGGCCGGTGATTACTCGCCAGCGCCTGGTGATTGCCGAGCATTTCTGACAGGGAGGAGAACTGTTTGTAAATAAAACCGGTATCCTTCCTGTCAGCTTGTGCACACTGCTTTGGATGGCTGTGCACAGCCATCTAAAGCAGTGTGCTTACAGTGAAGCACAGACACAGCACAATGTAAAACAGCATAAAGTTAACTCTTTGATCACCCCTCATGTTAACCCCCTCCTGCCCAATACCATTAGTACAGTGTCAGTGCTTTTTTTAACAGTGATCACTGTATTGGTGTCACTGGGGATGTCAGTGACACCAAGTCAGTTCCCTCCAGTGTCAGATGCCCACCGCAGTCCCACTATAAGTCGCTGATCACCGTCATTACTAGTAAAAATAAAATTCCAGTATCCATACCGCCATTTGTAAACGCTATAACTTTCATGAAAACCACTTAATTTACATGTATTGGGATTTTTTTTTAGCAAAGACATGTAGCAGAATACATTTTGGCCTAAATTTATGACGAAATTTGATTTTTTTAAATTTTTTTACTGGACATGTTTAATAGCAAAAAGTGAAAAATATAGTTTTTTTTTCTCAAAATTGTCGGTCTTTTTATTTATAGCATAAAAAATAAAAAATGCACAGGCGATCAAATACTACCAAAAGAAAGCTCAATTTGTGGGAAAGAAAAGATGTAAATTTCATTTGGGTGTAGTGTTGCATGACCCGCGCAATTGTCAGTGAAAATAACAGTGCCGTAACGCAAAAAATGGCCTGGTCAGGATGGGGGGTAAATCCTCAGGAAGGCAAGTGGTTAACTATATTAACCCTAAATCATCTGTTTACCCTAGTTTAACCCCTTTGCGCCGCCACCTCTTGGCCCTTTACCTGAATTGAAATGCTGGGAGATTCTGATCATGGTGACCATTGTGTTTGGTTGTCACATGATCGGAAAGTATCCAATCGCAAGTATGCATCAGGTGCTTACTGTTACATGCTAGTTGCTGTGCTGTGAGTATGCTCGCTTTCGGCACAGTAAATTATTTAGCAATAGATGCATATATACAGTACTGCCGCTCAGCATTAAAGTCCACCCACTGAGAGGTCGCATATATGCGCCATGTCATCGGGAAGAGGTAAAAGACTATACCAATATACACATGTAGCACCCTTCTAGCTAGTGTAGGTTTTTTATTATTATTTATTACAGGTACTTATATAGCGCCTTCAATTTATGCAGCGCTTTACATATATATTGTACATTCACATCAGTCCCTAACCCACAAGCGTGCAATCTAAGGTCCCTAACTCCTATCATACATACACATACTAGGGCCAATTTAGACAGGAGCCAATTAACCTACCAGTAAGTCTTTGGAGTGTGGGAGGAAACTGGAGTACCTAAAGGAAACCCATGCAGGCACAGGGAGAACATGCAAACTCCAGGCAGGTGGTGCTGTGGTTGGGATTCGAACCAACGACCCTAGTACTGCCAGCCAGAACTGCTAACCATTTAGCCACTGTGCTGCACCTCTGCAAAGTAAATTTAGTTTAGCTCCTTTGTAGTCAGTGAAGCAGGAGTGGAAGGAAAAATATAGAGGCAGCATGAATATTTATGGGGATCCAGCCAATCCCTGGGGAGGTGTGTCCAGTAGGTGGCTGGAGAGCATATAATTTTTCTGAGACCTGGGACAGAGTGTGTGGATCTCGGGTCCAGTCCTACTGAGAGGGGACCCCTGTCTGGTGGCTCTGCCCCTAAGGGCAGGCTGCTGGAGGCGCTATTCAGGAGTCACTGAGGTCCCAGCTGGAGCTTAAGCTGGGGGGGGGGGGGGGGTGGCTGTTTGCAAAGTCTGGTCTGGGATTTTTCTGGGTCTGGAGAACTCACTGAGGAGTAGCTTGTGGAAGTTTGGGGAATTGTGTCCAGCTGTCCTGTGGTATTGAGGGTCTGTGTTTCCCTTACTGAAGAGTGCCCGGTGGATATTGGAAGGAGGTGGCCAATGATCCTGTGGCATTGTGAGTAAATAACCTAAGTACTGTGCCTTAGTGACTGTGTGACATTCTCAGTTCTTTAATGGAAGTCATAGGCACTATTCAACTAGTAGAGAGTTGTGCGGGACATTTTTGTGGAGTGCAGTGTGAAGAGAAGAATCCTCAAGAAAGTAATTTCAGCAGATTCTGGGGTATCCCATGCTCTCTTCATCCCATCCAAGTTTATTTTGCAATACAGCATAAAAACACTCCTAGATTGATCTTTTCTAGCCAGGAATGGAGAAAATGTTGTGTGGGCACTAATCTCGGGGAAGGGAATCAGTTATCACCAGGGGCTCTTATGGGGATTAATTGTTAATTATCTTTAAATTAATGACTTCAATCAGTTCTGATGCTTGATGCATGCTCCTGCTTTGGTCAAGAATAAAGTAGAACTATAGGCAAAACTTTTTTCCTATTTGAATAGAGCAATGGAGGATTATAACCCCTGGCAGGTTTTTTTCCGCCATCTGCGTCCCATTGCAGAGATTTCTCTTCAATTATTGTCCCATAGACAAATAGGAAGAGAGAGAAAATCCCTGCAAATTAAGGGAATTTCTTGGGAATTTCAAGTCACCAGAACTAGTGTCCCCATTGGAAAATTTGCCCTCTATTACTTTTCTGGGGACAACCCAAAACTGTGGGATGTTCTTTTACTTTCACTTTCAATAATATTAGTAAACAGGACAAATAGAGAAGGTGAATCTCCCTACCAAGGGCGCAGACAGCAGTAAAAACTGAGAGGTATTCTAATCCATCTCCACTCTGTTCAAAACAAAAAAAAAGTGTTGCCTTCAATTATACTTTAAGGATGTACAAATCTGTCCAGGTTTGTTTCACATGGGCTTCTCCTAACCCTGCTTGAAGTCCCTGAGACCCCAACTTAGCACCAACCCCATTGAAGTTGATGGGTGGGGGGGGGTCTTGATACTAAATTCTTGCCATTTCCAAGGCTATTTGGCAAGGTATTGCTAAAAAATTGGCATAGAGAGTTGGGTACTGTCATAGAGGACATTTAACAAAACAAAACAAAAAATACTGTACAGCAGGGAGAGGGTCCTCCTATTAATGCAACTTCAAGGCTGACATGGGAAAAACACCAATCCTTTCAATAACATGCCTAGGATAAGCCTTCACGTTACATGTTGTATTACGAAACACAGCGTCAGCGACATTGTATCTGGCCTCAGGGGGATGGAGGCAACATGCAAGGGTTCTTTCCTAAGACAACAGCAAGTCTTCTGTTCTTGCTGTGCCTCCATTGTCTGGTCTATAAGTCAATGGACTGTTTGCTCCAGGAGGCACACAAGATAAATTGTATTACTAATCCCTGACTTCCTGTTACGTCTCACCTTTTTCATTCCTCTCATCAAAAGGTGCCAAAATGCTGCATGCATCTTGAATATTATGAACCAATGCAGCAGTGAAAAGAACCCTAGCTCCTCAGAGCCTTCCTTGAACTGTAATCACATGGGTATTCATTGATAGCATGCTGCTGATGGTGCAGCTTCTGCAACATGAACAGTGTTATCTTTCAGTTAATGGAAATGGCACAGATCTGATGGATGGCGGCCAGCTTGTGTTGGCGTTGCAGTCGGTGACTGCCAAAAGTGACCACAAACTTTTCTGGTCAGACAAATGACTCCCCAGAGTTCTTAAAGAGGTACTGCTGCACCACGAGGCTGAGAACATGTGCGAGGCAATGTATGTGTGTGAATTTTCCCTGGTGAAGGGCAGCCAGCAGATTAGTGCCATAGTTACACAAAACCTTACCTGGTTGAAGATGGCGTAAGGTCAGCCACCTCTTGGCTTGGACCTGAAGCACCTAAAGAAGCTCTAGTTTGGCTCCTGCCAAGACTACATAACAGCATGTCAGAATTTAAGAGACGTTACACATTCTCTGGACTGTTTGGGTTGGATCTAAACCTCAACCTCATCCCTAGTCAAGATGGAGTTCACAGTTAGAATGGGTATACATGTTGAATTCTTTTTCATTCAACCACCAAGCTTTAGTCAAGAAGTATGGGCATGGCTTCACTTTACCTTTCAGTCTGTAGCTCTGTCTGTTCTTCACAAACATATGGCTGTTTGATCTCACTTCCTTAACCACTTTCCCTCCGGAAGATATTACCCCCCTTTATGACTAGGCAATTTTATGCTATACAGCGCTGCTTTACTTTAACTGACAATTGCACAGTCATGAAAAGCTGTATATAAATGAAATGTATGTAAATTTTTTCTCACAAATAGTTTTCTTTTGGTAATATTTGACCACCACTGGGTTTTTGTATTTTTTGCGCTATAAACAAAAAAGACCAACAATTTTGGAAAAAAAACAAAACAATATTTTTTACTTTTTGTTATAAAACATATCCAATAAAACATTTAAAAAATAAAATTTCTTCATAAATTTAGGCCAATATGTATTCTGCTACAAATGTTTGGTAAAAAAATCCCAGTAAGCATATGTTGATTGGTTTGCGCAAACGTTATAGTGCCTACAAACTATAGTATATAAGATGGAATTTTTGTTTATTTTTTTTATACTAGTAATGGCGATGATCAGCGACTACCGGGACTTCAATATTGCAGCGGACAGTCTGACACGAACTGAAACTTTGTGGGAACCAGTGACACTAATACAGTGATCAGTGCTAAAAATATATGCTATCACTGTATTAATGACACTGGATGGGAAGGAGTTAAACATCTAGGGTGATCAAAGGGTTAACTGTGTTCCCAACCAGTGTTTTTGTGTGTACTATGTGCTGTTTTTTCTAGGCAACGTTCTGGATTCTTTCCCTGCTTTGCAGGGAAAGAAAAATCTAGCAGATTGCTACTAATAGGACACAGCTCTGCCTTGTTTATATAGACAGAACTTTTTCCTGTCACTCTCCTAGCCAATCAGTGTGTGCTGGTGCTCATCCGTTGGCTGGCACACGCTGATCAGCTTCTGCTGTGATCAATCACAGTAGATGTGGTGCTCAGGCGACACTCCCCCAAAATCAGGTAGTGCAAAATTACACACACACATATATATATATATATATATATATATATATGTGTGTGATTTTGCACAGAACGGCTGCCCTGTAGCAGTACATCTGCTATAGGGAGTTCATAAAGTGGTTTTTAATTACCAGCCATTTCAAACTAGCTCAGCAATTCATTTAATCATTTAAATAAAAGAGGCCCGGCTACTGACTGAACCTGAAGATGCAATGATTCTTTAATTTTCAGATAGTGCCTAAAAAATGATGTTCCATATTTTGAAATAGCAGCACACAAGGGTATGCATTCCAAATTTGGATATTTGGCCAATATTAATAATA